TGTCCCTCAGCTCTTCAGCTCAAGGCGAGCGCTCTACCACTTGAGCTACAGCGCCACTTCCGGTTTTCTGGTGGTTTATTGGAGATAGGAGTCTCACTGTCTCTCCTGCCCGGGCTGGCTTTGAACCTTGATCCTCAGATCTCAGCCTCCTGAGTAGCTAGGATTACAGGCGTGAGCCACCAGCGCCCGGCTGAGACTCTTATTTCTAATAAGCCACTAAGAAAAAGCCACAAGTGGCACTGTGGCTCAAGTGGTAAAGTGCCGGCCATGAGCACAAAGAGGCTTAGGGACAGTGCCCAAGCTCTGAGTTCAAGTCCTAGGCCTGGGGCGGGGTGGCGGGGGGTGAGGGGAAGGCAGAATTTAATATATGTGTTTTTTGTGTGTGTGTGTGTGTGTATTTTATGCTTAATATGCAGTTGTTTGACACTGTAACAGTAAGCATAGTATTTGAAATAATTTGTTTCTAAATAGACCTATTAATATTTAAGAATAACTAGTTCATGATCAATCAGTTTATGCTTTATTATACTACATATATGTGTAGGTAAGTGTTAATAGAGGGGAGACTATATTTGAGCTTTATCTGTGATTTTAATGTATAATTTTAAATATTTTTCTTCATAGAATCTCATTATTTAGCTCAATGATAATGTCATTTCCTCTCCTTTAATCTGCTTAGACTATTAAAAATGTGAGAACAACAATAATTACTAGATGATCATTTATTAATTCACTTATTCTCTACTTAATATAAGTACTTGCTAAGTGTTTGGGATGTAAATGAGACACAGTCCCTGCCCTCAAGGAGTTAAGTGTAGAGCTGGGCGCTGGTGTCTCATGCCAGTAATCCTAGCTATTCAGAAGGCTGAGATCTGAGAATCTGGTTGAAAGCTGGCCCAGGCAGAAAAACTCCAAGATTCTTGATCTCCAACTAACCACCAAAAAAGCCAGAAGCAGAGTTGTGGCTCAAGTGGTCGAGTGTTAACTTTGAGCAAAAAACACTCAGAGACAATACCCAGACCCTGAGTTCAATCCCTAGGGCCTGTGCGCGCGCGCGCACACACACACACACACACACACACACACAGGCACACACGCACGCACGCGCGTGCTATTCAGGAGGAGGAGATCTGGAGATTATGATTTGAAGCCAGCCCAGGCAAGGAAGGCTGTCAGTCATGGAACTTGAACTAGGGGCCTCAGTGCTGTCCCTGAGCTCTCTTTTGCTCAAGGCTAGCGCTCTACCACTTTGAACCACAACACAACTCCCAGTTTTCTGGTAGTTAATGAGTAGTTAAGAGTTTCATGAAGGGGCTGGGAAGGTGGCTCAGGGGTAGAGTGCTTGCCTTGCATGCATGAGGCCCTGGGTTCAATTCCTCAGCACCACATAACCAAAAAGAAAAAAGCCGGAAGTGGCTCATGTGGTAGAGCGCTAACCTTGAGCTGAATTGCTGAGGGACAGTGCCCAGGCCCAGAGTTCAGGCCCCATGACCGGACCCAAAAAAAAAAAAAAAGAGGTTCATGGACTTTCCTGCCCAGTCTGGCTTTTTTCTTTTTTTCTGGTCGGTCATGGGGCTTGAACTCTGGGCTTAGCCGCTATCCTTGCGCTCTTCAGCTCAAGGCAAGCATTCTACTGCTTAAGCCACAGTGCCACTTCTGGTTTTCTAGTGGTGTATTGGAGATAAGAGTCTCACAGACTTTCCTGCCCAGGCTGGCTTTGAACCGCGATCCTCAGATCTCAGCCTCATGAGTAGCTAGGATCACAGGCGTGAGCCACCAGCACCCAGTTGTGAGACTCATCTCCAATTAAACACCACAAAGCCTAGAATGGAGCTGTAGCTCAAGTGGTAGAACACTAGCCTTGAGTGAAAAAACAAAGGGACAGCACCCAGGCCCCAAGTTCAAGCCCCAGTATTGGCACACATTCATTAATGTTAATTAACAGTGAAGATTAAGCATCATATAAGCTATATAATGAATTCCCCTCCTTTACTCGTAATCCACATAGTTGGGTAAATTGGCTGACAGCCAAAGAGAAAAAATATGTGACCTGGATTTTCTATAGAAACCAAAGTATTCTAAACCATCAGAGTGTCCTGGAGGTCTTTGGCCATTTCTCAGAACAAATGCTTTTTTGTAAACCCATGGATCCTTTGATTTGTTAAACAAGAATTATGTTAAATCACATCATCATAATGACTATTAATTTTCTTTACTGTTTAGTTGGAAGCAAGGTATCATTCTTTCAACGAGACGATGAAGTAGTTGGTAAGTTATACAGGTCACAGTTCAATCCTATGTAATTATTATAGTTCATTATGCTCATTATATAAAAATACTTAGTTGGGCTAGGAGGGTCGATCTGTGGTAGAGGGATTGCCTGTCACATGGGAGATCCCCTGTCCCATCCCTAGCAGTGCAAAAAAGATGTTCTTACCATTTGCATGTGTTCTCAAATGTCCATTCAGGAAGAAAATTGGAGATTTTATCTTAATTAGCAAGACATTTAAAGTTCGAAAATATTTGGATACTCTAGGCAGAAAAATGACCAGAGTTGCTGAAGGGCTGCTTTCCTGCCCAGCATCCTGTAGCTTGTCTAGCATCCTGTGCTTGAGGATGGCTGGCTGACATGGCCGTGTAAGTGGCTATGTTCTCCATGACCCGAATCCACAGAGCATCCCTGTATCATCTATAGAACTAAAACCTGGCTTGACACCTTCTAATTCACAATTACTTTAATATTTTTACAAAATATGTATTTAAACTTAAGCCAAGACAGTCACACAAACATGTATACCATACAAATTTTTGAGAAGTTTTTGAAACTTCTGAATCTTCATGTAGATACTCATATAAACTTGGAAAATATTTAGCCTCCTGACATACTTGAAACTGTTGAAGACAAAAATGCAAGACTTTATCCCCAAAATAAGTAAAGCAATAAAGGGGTAGGTGCATGACTCAAGTGGTAGTGTGCCTTGAGGCCCTGAGTGCAAACCCCAGTACCACAAAAAGTAGCTAGATACATAGATAGATTGATATTTACATAGATTGATACATAGATTTATAGAAAGGTTTTATTTTGTTTGGTTTTAGTTTTCTTTTTTTTTTTTTTGGTCGGTCGTGGGGCTTGAACTCTGGGCCTGGGTGCTGTCCCTCAGCTCTTCAGCTCAAGGCGAGCGCTCTACCACTTGAGCTACAGCGCCACTTCCGGTTTTCTGGTTGTTTATTGGAGATAGGAGTCTCACGGTCTTTCCTGCCCGGGCTGGCTTTGAACCGTGATCCTCAGCTCTCAGCCTCCTGAGTAGCTAGGATTACAGGTGTGAGCCACCAGCGCCCAGCACGGTTGTAGTTTTCTTGTATGTATGCTAGTCCTGACGCTTGAACTCTGGGCCTGGGTACTGTACCTGAGCAGCTTTTGCTCAAGGTTAGCACTTTGCCATTTGAACCACAGCTCCACTTCCTACTTTTTTTTCCCCAGTATTTTATTAGAGCTAAGAGTTTCATGGACTTATCTTTTCGGGATCAGCTTCACACTGCAATCCTAGGTCTCAGCCTCCTGAGTGGCTAGGATTACAGGCCTGAGCCACTAGCACCCAGCTTTTTCTTTCAGTTTTTTTTTTGGGGGGGGATCCGGTCGTCGGGCCTGAACTCTGGGCCTGGCTGCTGTTCCTCAGCTCTTCAGCTTCTCTACCACTTGAGCCACAGCGCCACTTCAAGCTTTTTTCTTTTGCTTATGTGGTGCTGAGGAATCCAACCCAGGGCCTCATGCATGCAAGGCAAGCGCTGTACCACTGAGCCACCTTCCCACCCTTCTTTCACTTTTTAAGGACTGATTTTGACTCAGATATTTTCTTGGAGAATTGATACTTTGATTCTGACCTTTTTTCTGCCATGGAGTCAGTTACACTTTGTATAACTTACAGGGTTTTGTTTTGGTAAGAGATCAGATATTAAAAAATCTGAGTAACCAGGGCTGGGAAGATGGCTCAGTGGTAGAGCGTTTGCCTTGCATGCTCAAGGCCCTGGGTTCGATTCCTCAGTACCACATAAGCAAAAAGAAAAAAGCCGGAAGTGGGCGCTGTGGCTCAAGTGGTAGAGCGCTAGCCTTGAGCTGAAGAGCTGAAGGACAGCGCCCAGGCCCAGAGTTCAGGCCCCACGACCGGACCCAAAAAAAAAAAAAAAAAAATCTGAGTAACCAGGTAGACACTGGTGGCTCATGCCTGTAATCATAGCTACTCAGGAGGCTGAGATCTGAGGATTGCTGCTCAGAGCCAGTCTAGGCAAGAAAGTCCATGAGACTAGAAAACTAGAAGTAGAGCTATGGCTCAAAGTTGTAGAGTACTAGTCTTGAGCACAAAACCTGAAGGACAGCACCCAAGTCCTGAATTCCAATCCTGTGACCAACAACAACAAAAATAAGAGTAGCTTAGGGGACAATGTAATTTTATGAAAATATAGCAAGGTGGGTTATGGAACCAAAATAAGGGAAAGATAGCCATGTGTCAGAAATTGTAACTAGGTGCCCCAAATTCTGATTGGTTCTAGAACATTCACTATCGTCTTGCTTGTTAAAAGAGAAAGCAATAATATGGATATTACAGTGTTCATACAAGAAAACATGTAGTGTCTTTCCATGTTTCTGAAGTCTCTCCCTTCCCCACACTTGTAATTACTACAACTGTCCTTACAATTCCACAGAATAAAATTATCATGAATTTCATTAGGAATGAATTTGTCTGGAAGAGGAATTGTGGGGTTTTTTTGTCTTAAATTTCTTGTTTTGATTTTTAGGAATTTTGCCCCTGGATTCAGAAGACCCAGGACTTTGTGAAGTTGTTAGAGTCCATGAGCATTACTTGGGTATGTGGCAGTTGAATTTGGGGCTCATTTAAGTCTTATTTCACTAATGTGTAGTGTAACTATATTCTCATCATTTACATAAAATAATTGTTGCTTGGTCATATAAATACTTCTAGCTTATAATTATAACATACATATTTAGACTAAAAAGAATACAGACTTTGAAACTGAAATTTTTTAGCTCTGAAATTATATCCTTACATTTATTTATATATCTATTTATTTAATTTAGATGCTGGGAATTGAACCCAGGACCTTAACTATATGGACAAGTGCTCTACCAATGAGCTCCATCCCTAGAGGTCTTGATAACTAGCTGAAAAAAAAAAAACCCACAGTACAAAAGTGTAGGCACAGCCGGGCGCTGGTGGCTCACGCCTGTAATCCTAGCTACTCAGGAGGCTGAGAGCTGAGGATCACGGTTCAAAGCCAGCCCAGGTAGGAGAGACCGTGAGACTCCTATCTCCAGTAAACCACCAGAAAACCGGAAGTGGCGCTGTAGCTCAAGTGGTTGAGCACTCGCCTTGAGCTGAAGAGCTGAGGGACAGCGCCCAGGCCCAGAGTTCAAGCCCCACGACCAACAAAAAAAAAAAAGTGTAGGCACTTCATGTAGAGTCTGAGGCAAGAGAGAATTCAGGATGCTTGTTTTGGGTTTTTGTTTCTGTTATTAATATTTTTAACTAATATTCATTTGTAATTTTTTCATAGTAAAGTACATAATTTTTAAATTTAAGTGTATATGTTTACAAATGTACACAAACAGAGACAAACTTCATGAACTATAGTAAAAACATTTTCCATAACTTGAGAGAAACACTAGAATGCCTGGATGCCAGGCATAGTAGTATGCTGTGTGCATCTCACCTGCCAGCTACCTAGGGCTGACACAGAGGATCGCCTGAAGCCAGGAGTTCAAAGTCAACCTGGGCAACATAACAAGTCCTCTTCAAAATATTTTTTTATTTAAAAAAGAAAGAGGCACTTAGAGATACAATTATATACCCCTGAATTGCTATTCTAACTGGGCACCTATGGCTTACACCTATAATTCTAGCTTCTCAAGAGGTTGAATATGAATTTCAAAGCCAACACATGAAGAAAGGTTCTATTTCCAAAATAACCAGCAAAAAGTTGGGTTATAGGCATGGTAAAGTCCACCTGAGCAAGCAAGCTAAGTCGGTGTAAGGGCCAGAGTTCAAACCAAAGTAGTGGTGAGGTAAAGGGAAGACATTTAAGAAATAACAAAGACTATGGAAGATTGGAGCCAGAAACCAAGGAAGAAAATCAAACTACATAGCTCATAACATTATAGCTATCTTAATGAGATTCGTAAGAAATAAAGTACTGTATGGGATGTTACATGGTACTTAGTATGTTCTTCCTGTTTTCATTCCCAATCATCTGTCTGATATTTTCAACTTGTATGCTTCAATGCTGCATGTAGCCAGTAGATGGCACTAGTGTACTGCTGAAATCCTGTGACATCTTTATAGCCATTAGAGCAAACACTTGAAAGAGCTGATAAGAGACTAAAAAGCATAATAAATTGGCTTTATTTTCATATTTTGGCCATATTGGAGTTTGAATTCAGGGCCTTCTCTTACTAGGCAAGCACTCTATTACACTTGAATCATCAGTCCAACAACAAGTTGGTTTTAGATGAGAAATGATTGTTAGTTCTACTCTGAAAACAGCATTCAATTTATAACATTAACACAAAATAGAAATTAGTGAAGTGTATAGCTTAGTGGTCAGATTATGTAGAACTTTTTAAACTATTGTGTTTGTTTGTATCTAAATACAATGGAAAGCCACCGAAGAATGTTAAGTGGCAGATTATTATTAAGCGGCATATTACTTACTTTTTTGTTCTGTTTGTTTATGCCAGTCCTGGATTTTGAGCATTGTGCCTGAGCCTTCTTTGCTCAAGGCTTGAGCTCTATCACTTGAGGCACAGTTTTATTCCTGGCTTTTTGGTGATTGATTGAAGGTAAGAGTTTCACAGGCCAAGCTCCCAACCCAGATCTCAGGGTCCTAAGTAGCTAGGATTAAAGGTATAAGCCACCAGCAACCAGCCTCTTTTGCTTTTTTGAGATAGTCTTGCTATAAAGCTCTGGCTCTACCCTCAGTTACAGTCCTGTGAAGGAGTTATGTGCAACTCCTTCATTTACATTTTCATTATCATTCTGATACTTCTGTTTTTCATAACACTATTGAAGTGACTGAAGATTTAGATTGGATATCCATAATCTACAATGCTCAAACTTGATGATATCAAAAGTTGGCCAAGTAATCAGTACTCTGCTTTGGGAACCCAAACTGATTCAAACACTCAGAAAGAATTAGTTATGTCATAAGTAGCATATCCCAGAACCTAGAATTTTTTTTTCCTAAAGGAAAATACTCTAGTGAAAACCATGCATGGGTTAACAGTATCCTTTATACAAGAACATTCTTATTAGCACTGTAACTACTGGAAACTGAGACAATTCATGTTTATGAGCTGAAGAATGGATAACCAAACAGAGGTGTTTCCAGGTGGTGTAATACTATAAAACCACACAAATGAACACACCCTCTGAAATAAAGGCACAAAAAGCATGTGTCTTTAAGACATAACATGGAACCCAGACGTCAGTGGCTCATGCCTGTAATCCTAGTTACTCAGGAGATCTAAGGATCTCAGTTCAAAGCCAGCCCAGGAAGGAAAGTCTGTGAGACTCTTATCTCCAATTAACCACCAGAAAACCAGAAATGGTGCTGTGGCTCAAGTGGTAGAGCACTTGCCTTGAGTTGAAGAGCTCAGGGACAGCGTCCAGGCCCAGAGTTCAAGACACATGACTGACAAAAAAATTTTAAAAAACACCATAGTATGGACCATAAAGGACACAATAGGAACAGTTACATAGGATGTGTTTCCATTTAGATAAAAGTTCCAGATCAGGCAAAAGTAATTGATACTATTTAGAAATTCATGCTTAAGAAAGAATTGAGTTAGAATAGAGTGATACCATATGATACCATATACTGTTTCTACCCTAGGAAAGTGGTTATCTGTTTGCTTTACATTCATCTATGCAGGTGTATTTTAACGTGACATGTGCTTGTGTGCATGTGTCTTTTTTTTTTACAATAAGAAGATTAAGATATACACCCACTCTGGCTATTATCTTAAATGGGTTATGATGGACAAGAATGGAAACATTCCTTTAAAGCATGCCAGTAATCCCAGAACTCAGAAGGCAGGAGGCTCACAAGTTAAAGGCCAGCTTGTATTGTGTAGCAAGTTCAAGACTAGCCTGAGCTAGCAAGACCTTAAGCTGTACCTGGCTTTTATTTTCAATACACAGAAACAAATTTCTATTCTAAAATAGTCTCAAAAGAAAAAGAAAACAGGGAATTGTGTGATACAGGTAACTGATAAAGGGAGTGGCATCTTGGGCCAGATCATGGTCTACAGGAGTAGAGATAGAGAGAAGCAGATCCAGGAGGCAGTACTAATGCACTTTACTGACGTATTCTCTTCTCTTGTTCTTTGTGTCAGTCCATAAACCAGAGAAGGTTACATGGACAGAAGCAGCTGGTACCATTCGGGATGGTGTACGAGCCTATACAGCGCTACATTACCTTTCTCATCTCTCTCCTGGAAAATCAGTACTGATAATGGATGGAGCAAGTGTAGGTGCCAATGGTTTTGTGAAAAGATAAACCAATGTACAGTAAATTTAGCAAATATGGGACCAGCCAGCCATGTGCTAATAGAATTACTTGCCAATAGATTCTTAACTAATTTCTTTCCCAACCTCCATTTTTTTTCTCTTAAGCAGACTTTATCAATAGGTGGTAGAAGTCAGATTTAGGGTGGTAGGTTTCTAATCATTTTGAATCTATCAATAGAATAAATAGCAGGCCATTGTATATGCAAGGCAAACACTCTACCAGTGAGCTATGCCTCACACCAAGCCATTTTAATTCATTCTGTTATAAAGCTGGAAATAACACATGAATCTTTAAAAGTCATAGTCCAGCAGATCTCCTTTCCAGCTTTTATAACCTGTCCCCCACTAACTCTTATGTTAATTAAGTTTCACATTTAATAAGAGGATCATATACAAGGTTAAAATATATTAATTGGAAATATTAGATATATCAATAATAAATTGTTCACAGCTCTAAAGAACATATAACAATCTGGGCACCGGTGGCTCACACCTGTAATCCTAGCTACTCAAGAGGCTGAGATCTGAGAATCACTGTTCAAAGCCAGCCCAGGCAGGAAAGTCTCTGAGACTCTTATTTACAATAAACCACCAGAAAACTGGAAGTAGCACTGGGACTCAAGAGGTAAGTGCTTGCCTTGAGCTGAAGAGCACAGGGACAGCACCTAAGTCTGGAGTTCAATTCCCATGACCACCACCACCAACAACAACAACAAAAAGCAAAAAAAAGGAACATATAACATAGGGCCAGATGTGATGGTGCATGCCTGTAATCTCAGGTGGCAGACATTGGAAGTCTTGCAGTTTGAGGCTCGGTGGGGAAAAATATTGATGAGACCTCATCTCAACAAGCACGCTGGACATGGGTGGTACATGTTAGTGGTCCAGCTACATAGAAGACATACATAGTTCAAGGCCAGCCTTGTGCTTAGATTACAACCACAAGCCACTACATCCAGCCTCCCTCCATTAAGATGGAGTCTTTCAGAATTTTCTGCCTGGACTGACCTGGAATTATGATCTTCCCAACCTTAGCCGCCTCCCAGATTGCTTAAGAAGACAGGTAGTTGGGTGCTGGTGGCTCACCCCTGTAATCCTAGCTACTCAGGAGGTTGAGATCTGAGGATTGTGGTTCAAAGCCAGTCCAGGCAGAAAAGTCCATGAGGTTCTTATCTTCAATTAACTGCCAGAAAACTGGAATTGGCACTGTGGCTCAAAGTGGTAGAACACTAGCCTTGAGCAAAAAGAGCTCAGGGATAGTACCCAGGCCCAGAAGTTAAGCCCCACCAGCAACAAAAAGAGCACAGGAGTGAGCCACTGAACCCAGCTATGGATTGAGATCTCTCAAACTTTTCTGCCAGGCAGGCCTAGAACCATAATCCTCCCATTTTCAACCTCCCAAGTAGCTAAGATTACAGGTGAGCCATTAGTACCTGGAAACCCTGAGCTTTTGAAGAGCTTTGCTCTTCAATGAGAAATCACGAGAATCCTAAACATAGTATATAAGTAGCTTAGATCATCATTCTGATAGGGCCCTTCCAGGCCCCTATGTCTTTTTCCATGGCCCTGTTTTGTGGGGCCCACATGCTTGAAATGATGTACTGTGGTTAGAGTAAGAACATGTGGTACATGAAGTTATTCCCCCAACCCCTCTGGAGAAGTCAGATTAAAGTGATACTTTAATACTTTGTTGCGGTCTATAACATAAATGAGATAGGTCCTTTGCCCTGGTTCTATCTGTTAACCCATTGTATGTATGTGTTTCTACACAGGCATTTGGCATAATAGCAATTCAGTTAGCACACCACAGAGGAGCCAAGGTAATTTCAACAGCATGCAGCTTGGAAGACAAGCAGTGTCTTGAAAGACTGAGACCTTCTGTAGGTGAGTAACATCACTAATCACAGACTGTACAACAGGGAAAATGATACCAAAAGCAATACTAGTAACCCAGGCATAGTGGTGCACACCAGTAATCCCAGCACTTGTGAGGCTGAGACAGAAGGATCAGGAGTTCAAGGCCAGCTTAGACTACATAGTAAGACACTATTGTAAAACAAAAATACTGAACTAAAAGCCAGCCTGGGCAATAAAGTTTGTGAGACTCTTTTTCTCTAATTATCCACCAAAAGCCTGGAAGTAGCCCTGTGGCTAAAGTGGTAAAGCACTAGCTTTGAGCAGAAAAAGCTCAGGGACAGTGCCTAGGACTTGAGTTCAAGCCCTCCCCGCCACACACAAATACTGCACTGGTAAAACTGCACACAGAATCCCAAATGAAAGTCAGTTTTAAAATGTACTTAGTGGCTTATGCTACTCAGGATTCTCCAAAGAAGATCTGAGGATCTTAGCCAGTCTAGGCAGGAAAGTCTATGAGACTTTTTTTTTTTTGTAAATTTCCCTCAGCTAGAACTATTCCTTAGAGCCCAGAAAAACTAATCAGATAATCTGCTTAGGTGTTGTTTTATGGCATTTGAAGACATGAAAGCTGCAACCTCACAGTACTTTAAATTATAGAGATGCTAGCATTTATGTAATTTAAGAGACTTTATACAGGGGCTGGGAAGGTGGCTCAGTGGTAGAGCGCTTGCCTTGCATGCTCGAGGCCCTGGGTTCGATTCCTCAGCACCACATAAGCAAAAAGAAAAAAGCCGGAAGTGGCGCTGTGGCTCAAGTGGTAGAGCGCTAGCCTTGAGTTGAAGAGCTGAGGGACAGCGCCCAGGCCCAGAGTTCAGGCCCCACAACCGGACCCAAAAAAAAAAAAAAGAGACTTTATACAAACTATGCACGTTAGACACAATTTCCCTATGAGACTCTTATCTTCAATGAACCACCAAAAAACAAAAGCCAAAAGAGGAACCATGGCTCAAGTGGTAGAGTACTAGTCTTGAGCTATCAGGGATAGCACCCAGGCCTGAGTTGAAGCTCTAGGACCAGTCCACTTTTAAGTGATAAAACAATTAAGATTGTTTTTGTGATGCTGTGGCTCATATCCAGGGCCTCTCCCATGCTAGGCAAGTGGATACCACTGAGCTGCTGCTCAGCTGCTACTGGAGATGTTTGTTTTTGTTTTTTTGGGGGGGCAGTACTAGGATTTGAACTCAGGGACTCAGGGCCTGGGCACTGTCACGGAGCTTCTTTTGCTCAAGGCTAGCACTCTACCACTTAAGCTATAGCACCACTTCTGTTTTTTTCTGTTTATGTGGTACTGAGAAATCAAACCCAGGGCTTCTTGCATTCTAGGCAAGTACTCTGCCACCAAGCCACATTCTCAGCCCTTACTTAAGATTTTTAAACCTGCATCTTTCGGTGTTTTTTTTCTTGTCCTAATGTTACCAACTTAATTAAGTTTGAATTAGTGAACTTAGACACAATCTAGAAATAACTTTTGCTCTTTGGTTTCAGGTAGCAAATGAGTCTATTTTTGTATCACTTCATTAGGTTTTTGTCCTCTCCTGTCATGTGATTAGCCTCTACACTTTTCTCCGTAACACACTGGGATGGCAGATGATCCATGGACTCATAAACACAAGCCAGATAGAGCTAAGGACAAATAAACAGGGTAGAAGCTGATGAACCTGGAAAAAATTGAACTTATCCAATCAGCAGTGAGAGGAGGAAATAATAAAGACTAGGAGAAAAATTAAAAAGGAATAAAGAAATGTAAGAATGGAACAAGAGATGGAGAGCAGAGAGAAGGAGCAGAGTGTAACTAACTGGAGGCAGGCAAGAAAGTAATGTTCATTGAGTTAATAGGAATATTTCCTCCTTAAGTCCTCAATACCTTTTGTTTTATGGCCAGGAAGTAGCTTCTCAGCTATTAGACAGCTACACAGATTCAAACCCAGGCCTGTCTAAGCTTAAAGCCCATGTGATTTTCATTATGGCAAGATAACCAATGGGAGGAAGCAAGACACTTGTAATTCTATCTATTCAGGATACTGAGATCCAGAAGATCGAAGTTTGAAGCCATCCCATCAAAAAGCCAGGCTAGAGATCTGGCAGCATGGCTCAAATGGTAGAGGGCCAGCTAAGAGCAAACGCAAGGCCCTGTAGGGGTGGGGTCGTGGCAAACAGAAGGAAATTAATACAGGAGTCTGAAGGAGAAGGACAAGGAAAGGAGAAGAGCTCTGAAAATAGAATGGAGGAATCTGGGCACTGGTGGTTCACACCTGTAATCCTAGCTACTCAGGAGGATGAGATCTAAGGATAATGGTTCAAAGCCAGCCTGGACAAGAAAGACCATGAGACTCAACTCCAGTAAACTACTCAGAAAAAGTTGGAAGTAGTGCTGTGGTTCAAGCAGTAGAACAATAGCCTTGAGCACAAAGAGGCTCAGGGACAGTGATCAAGCCCTGAGTTCAAGCCCCAGGACTGGCACTGCCCCTGAGTTCAAGCCCCAGGACTGACAAAAATTAAAAAAAAAAAAAAAGAAGAATAGAAGAGTAGGGGTATAGCTCAATGGTGTAGCACTAGGCCCTAACATGCAGGAGACCCAGCACAAAAGACAGAGAAGCTGGGCACTGGTGTCTTATAGTCATAGCTACTCAGGAGGCTGAGATCTGTGGATCACCGTTCAAAGCCAGCCCAGGCAGGAAAGTCCGTGAGACTCTTATCTTCAATTAACCACCAGAAAACCAGAAGTGGCACTGTGGCTCAAGTGGTAGAGTGCTCATTTTGAACTGAAAAGCTCAGGGATAGGACTCAGGCCCAGAGTTCAAGCCCTACAACTAACAAAAAAGAAAAAAGGGGAGGTGTAGAAAAGAAAAGAACCAAAATGGTACTGTTGAAAGGTAATGTTCTTACTAGTTAATTCTGCCATATTCTGGCTTCAGCCCTATCTGTGTCTTCTTGCTCCCTTCCCTCCTGCACACTGTACCTCTAATCCAACCCCTGCAGAAATTGTCTTCAGTGAAATATTAAAAGATAAACATGTGCTAGTTCAAATTCTAATCATTTAAAAATATTCTCAACAAAGTCTATTAGTTTTTCAATTAATACTTAAGAGATTAGGAAATATTGCTGTGGCAAAGCATTTGCTTAGTATAATGTGAGACTCTAGATTCAATCCTCAGCACATCAGAAAAATTACTTGTGTGCGTGCGTGCGTGTGTGTGTGTGTACACATATATACATGTAATCAAAGCAAAGAAATAAAATTAGCTTAATTTTTACTAACTGTGCTAAAGAAAGTCCTTACCTTCAAAACTTGTCTCCATTTTTGGAGAACTAGGGGGGATTTCTAGATTGGGAAAGATACAGTAGCTATTAGTAGAGGTGTTCTTTTTTTTTTTGTCTATCGTGGGGCTTGAACTCTGGGCCTGGGCGCTGTCCCTCAGCTCTTCAGCTCAAGGCGAGCGCTCTACCACTTGAGCTACAGCGCCACTTCCGGTTTTCTAGTGGTTTATTGGAGATAAGAGTCTCATAGACTTTTCATACCGGGGCTGGCTTTGAACCCTGATCTTCAGATCTCAGCTTCCTGAGTAGCCAGGATTACAGGCATGAGCCACCAGCGCCCGGCAGTGTTCTTTTTTATATAAATACCTTTATAGCTTTGGGGGTTTTTTTTAAGAGTTTATTTTGATAAATATTATTTTATATGATCAGAGGAACAGAGGCATTGGGCCTCTAAGAAGATCCTCCAAGCTTTAAACAGTATTTAATCTAAACATAACTTTATGAGCAGTGTGATCTTCCATTTCATGTTATAATATACCTTGTAAATATAAGCCCTGTTTTTCAGATTCTCAGTTCTGGCACTATCCTATAATCAGAGAATAGTCCTCTGTTTACAGACCAGCCTCTGACCACTTTATCCACAAAAAAGATAGCATTGTTTTTTATTGAATAACCCAGTCTCTTCAATTAGAGTGATTCTTATCAATATTGGACTTACAGAGAAAAAAGTATGATTAGAATTGACTTTTTCTCTTTAAACTTAGTAATTGAACTGTTAATTCATTTCAGAGAAAAGACATTTATGTGCTTTTCTTTTTTCTCCCCTGATTTGTTTGTGTTGATTACTTAGAGAACAGTACAATTGCCTGATATCCTGTCCTTTACAGCCCGAGTGATCGATGTATCTAATGGGAAAGTCCATGTTGCCGAAAGCTGTTTGGAAGAAACAGGTGGCCTGGGAGTAGATATTGTTCTGGATGCTGGAGGTAGGTACCCATGAAATCAGGAGCCTGTGTAGGTGGGCTTTTTTTCTTCATTTTAAAATAAATTTTATTCTTGAGATTTAAGGAAAACAATGCAAACTGTAAAATAAAAAAATATATATCTTCTGTAGTATCAGAAAAAACATTTTAACCCCAGGTTCCATTAAAAATCATAAGAGGCGGGACGTCGGTGGCTCACATCTAATCCTAGCTACTCAGACCACGATTCAAAGCCAGTCCAGGCAGGAGAGTCCATGAGACTCTTTATCTCCAATTAACCACCCAAAAACCGGAAGTGGTGCTGTGGCTCAAGTGGTAGAACACTAGCCTAGAGCTGAGAGCTCAGGGACAGCACACAGGCCCACAGCTCAGGACCCACGAACAACAACAAAAAATAATCATAATCATAAGAGGCACTGCATGTTTTGGAAAAGAGAGTTAACAGAAGCACTGTGATTGTTAAATTATCACCAAATCATAAAAAGGTGGTGGCAATAGTAACTGTTTCTTATCTCAGGAAACTTACAACATAATTGCTAATATACTCAAGTATATATCTGAAACAGAGAATTTCTATCTCTTGGCCTTCCAGAAGATTATTAATCATCTCCAAATACTCAAATTCAAACACAATACTTGGAGAAACAATAGGTACTCAAAAAATATCTACTGTATTGAAATGTTTCTTTTATAATATAGTCAATTCTTGGCAATTCTGTTGTAATTACTTTGCAGTTATTATTCAAGAACATTAAAAATCAGATTTTAGGACTTATCTACCTGTGTAAGTCTTGTAGTATAAGGAATTTTAGGGAAAAAATGTAACAAGGAAATAATTTACTAAATTGAATAGGGGCTTTTTTTTTTTTTTTTGGTCTGGTCATGGGACCTGAACTCTAGGCCTGGGCGCTGTCCCTCAGCTCTTCAGCTCAAGGCTAGCGCTCTACCACTTGAGCCATAGCACCACTTCCGGGTTTTTTTTTTCTTATGTGGTGCTGGGGAATCAAACCCAGGGCCTCAGGCATGCAAGGCAAACGCTCTACCACTGAGCCACCTTCCCAGCCCAGGGGCTTTGTTTTTAACTAAAGACTTACCTATTTAAATAGGAACATCCTAACTTTGTCCCACTGTCCTCACACTGTCTCTGAAAGAAAGAGTATCATTGCCTTTTAAATACACATAGGAACTGAAGTTGAACTAACACATGACAAACTTGGTCCCAGATCTTTGTCCACATCTGCTGTGTGTGGCTGCCCTCTATTGGATGACTGACTTCTAAGTTGCTGTTGGAAAACAAAGGACTTTCCTTCTTTTTCTTGATAAATTTGACTAATAGCTGCTTACTACCTAACCTAATCTAAAAGACTGATGTGGTGGCCCACAAGCACTTCTGTTAATACTCGGTTGAACTATAGCTGTAGCCATTGTGTGTTTTCTTTTTAACCAACATTTTCCAAGATTTGAAATTAGCTCCAAGAAAAACCAATGCAAATGAGGATAACTATTTTGAAAGCACGTTTTTCAAATGTACATTTTGGTAGTTATGTCAAAGTATGGCTCAGTCGGGTCTGTGCATACTTTAATCATAAAGCAACTCATTTCATTGTGTTAAGCTCTTATTGTTACAATTACTATTATGATAGTTATGTATTACGCTATCTTTCTTAGGATGCAAAAAGTAGAGTTAAGAGTTAAAGGGCTGGGAAGGTGGCTCAGTGGTAGAGTGCTTGCCTTGCATGCATGAGACCCTGGGTTCAATTCCTCAGCACCACATATGCAGAAAAAGCCAGAAGTGGAGCTATGGCTCAAGTGGTAGAGTGCTAGCCTTGAGCTGAAGAGCTGAGGGACAGTGCCCAGGCCCAGAGTTCAGGCCCCAAAACTGGCAAAAAAAAAAAAAAAGAAAAAGAAAAAAAGAGTTAAAAGTGTCAGAATACATTGTTGCCTTCTAAGCAAAAATACTGTGTGTGTGTGTGTGTGTGTGTGTGTGTGTGTGTGTGTGTGTGACACGCATGCTGTTTATAGGCCTTGAACTCAACCTGGGCCTTGTGTGTGTGTGTGTGTGTGTGTGTGTGTGACACACGTGCTGTTTCTAGGCCTTGAACTCAACCTGGGCCTTGTCCCTTAGCTTCTTTATGCTCAAGGCAAGGACTCTACCACAGCACCACTTCCAGCTTTTTCTGAGTAGTTTGTTGGAGACAACAGTCTCACAGACTTTACTGGCCTGGCTGGCTTCAAACCATGATCCTCAGATCTCGGCCTCCTGAATAGCTAGGATTACAGGCGTGAGTCGCCAGTAGCTGGCTGAAAAATACTTCTTATATAAAAAATTAAACTTATTTGAGGAATGAATTCTTTGCCAGGTTGTTATAATGTGATATATTTTTTTCTTTTTTTCTGGCTTTTTCAACTGTTCACTTAAAAGTGAGGTTATATAATAAAGATGATGAGCCAGCTGTGAAATTACAACTTCTACCACATAAAAATGATATCATCACACTTCTTGGTGTTGGAGGCCACTGGATAACAACAGAAGAAAACCTTCAGGTATTATCAGAAACAATAATTAACAAGAACAGTATAAATTCTGAATTGTACTCTGTTTAAAGGAATGCATTTTCTTTTTCATGTTAGTTAAATGCTGGCCAAAATGTTAAATAAAATACTGCCTGGTGGAGACTTCATTTAGTTAGAATGAACTTTAAGGGTTTGTAGGGTTTTTTAGTGATTTGGAAGTCATGGCTTCTGAATTTTTAAGTTGTAAAACTTTTTATTTAAAATGTTTAAATTGTATTTCAAATAACACTGTAATATAACACAAAGATACTTAGAAAAATATTGGTTTAAAATTATCATATTTTTTTCATTATTCAAATTGGCATTATAAATAACTTATCTATTGAATAGATAGGTTACCTCCCAAGTTTCTTTGACCATATTCTACTTAAATTATATCAGGACTTATATACAAATAATACTATTTTCAAAGGCCAATGTTGACTTTTCAGTGTATTCATAATGATGACTAGTAGTTATCAGAATCCAAATACTAGAGCCCCTCCAGCAAGCATTCCCTCACTGGCATTCTAGACTGACCTGCATCTGCCCTATACTTATCACCTAGCTAGTAGATCCTTTTGGACCATGACATAAACAAAAAAACATTGCGGTTTACATAACATTGTTACTAAAGTGTGTGTGTGTGGTTTCAACAGTATTTGTCTAGAAGTTCTTCTGACTTAAGATAGCAATCATCCTTTTACTGTTAAACTCACAGCAACTGGTCTTTGTTTATTCCATCAAAGTTGGATCCTCCAGATAGCCACTGCCTTTTCCTCAAGGGAGCAACCGTGGCGTTTCTGAATGACGAAGTCTGGAACTTGTCAAATATACAGCAAGGAAAATATCTATATATCCTTTTTTCTACTGATTTTAGTTTCTGGCCTGAAATGTACCTTATATACATTTCATTATGTCAAGAAGTAGCAATTAGCTATTATGTTTCCTTGAATACATTCTAAATAGCTTCCCAGTTATTTGTTTTAACATTAAAATAACTCTATGAGATATAAGTACTGATATCATCTCTGCCTCACAGGTTAAGAAAACAAAACAAAAAAGCATAGAGAACTAGAACCAGAATCACTCCTGATCCATATAAAGGTGCTGATAACCTACTTGGCAAAGCCCAGATTTGTCAGATTGGAACATGATGAGTTTATATGAAACGATGAATTTCTGAATCAGATATGTATGCTATAAACAAGCTACCCCTGACTTACCAACAAGAGCTCATGTTAAGGTTTTTGTGACATAGTTTTAAATTCTCAGCTACTCAGATAGGCACCATCATTTCCAGCTTAATTATTTGCCTTTCTGCAACCACATTTTGAACTTGTTTCAGCCATATTAGTTGACAATATATACCTAATGTAAGAGGCAGGGGCTGAGTACCATCATTGGATAACAATGGAAATCATACATCATTCTATCACTGTTCATAGAGATGAGTACTCATCACCTAAATGCTAAGCTTGGCAACTTTTATCATTCGTCCTTAGAAGTTGAAGCCATGGTTTACTACAAGTTCTGTTAAATCATTCCTCTAATTTAGAAATAAACTTGAGTGTGGCTTCATAACACTTTGAACTGGCAGTGCAAAACATTTTTAGAAAGCAAAAAATGACCAGTCTAGCATCTTCTGCTTATTGAACAGACTAATTTAATTTTCTTTTGTTTATATTGTCCCCTTAACTGTCCTTCTAGCTACGTATTTTAAAGGACGTGATGGAGAAGTTGTCATCTGGTGTTTTTAGGTATGCAAAAAAAAAAAAACTAAATCATGGTTCTTTTTGTTTTTGTCAGTTGTGGGGCTTGAACTAGCTCTTCAGCTCAAGGCAAGCACTCTACCACTTGTGCCACAATGCTACTTCCAGTTTTCAGATGGTTAATTGGAGATAAGAGTCTCATGGGCTTTCCTGCCCTGGCTGGCTTTGAACCGTGATCCTCAGATCTCAGATCTGAGTAGCTAGGATTACAGTCATGAGCCACCACCACCCGGCTAAATCATCATTCTTGTTTGCTTTTTCTATTCTTAAGGAGATTAACATGGGCATATTTTTCTTTTTTCTTTCAGCTTTTACAGTATACCTGTTGTCTTATTTTATTATTTAGTTTTGAAAAATGGCTGCTCTGTATTTTCCAAATCTCTGAGCTTTTCTCCCTTCGTTCCATTCTGTATCTTACCCTTTGCTTTTCCTCATTACTTAAAAAGAGGAAAGAGGGAAATTTGTTTAAGTTGGATCTGTTTATTATATATAAAAGAGGGAGTGGCTAAAGAAGTGATTTTCTTTTTCTCCTCAAAATTTATGTGGGGCATGTAGGTGAGTGCCCATGATTCAAATGCCTTGAAAGCAGAGGCAGAAGGATCCGGAGTTTGAGGTCAGCCTGGGGTACATAGTGAGACCCTATCTCAAAAAAACAAACAAACAAACAAAAAACAATAATCTTACCAGTAACACTTTATCCAGGTGAGCTGGTGTTCACCTGTAATCCTAACACTCAAGAGGCTGAAGCAGGAGGATTGTAAGTTTGAGGCAGCCTGAGCTACAAAGCAAAACCCTATCAAAACAAGCAAATTTCTTTTTGCCAGTATTGGGGTTTGAACCTTAAGACCTCAAGCTTACTAGGCTTGCTTGCTCAGCTGGCACTTGAGCTGTGCCTTATATTGTACCAATACAGGGGTTTGAATTTAGGGCCTTGAGCTTTTTTGCTGGCTATTTTGGAAACGGAATCTTGACTTTTCTGACCAAGTTAACTTTCAGCTGCCACCTGATTAGCTAGGATTACAGAAATGAACCACTGGTGTAGGTTACTTAAACACTTTTAACAGTGGAAATACCAATAGATAAGTTTGTTTGAATGATTTGAAGCAGTGTAACCATCTTGTGTGTTCTGCTCATCTGCAACTAGACCTGACATTCCTAATGATTTTTCTCCCCTAGACCTTTATTGGATGAACCCATTCCACTGTATGAGGCAAAAGTGTCCATGGAAGTTGTTCAGAAAAATCAAGAAAGAAAAAAGCAAGTGGTTCAGTTTTAATTTTCTTCTTTGCCAGACCTCAGTTGGATGTACTTATCCCAGTATCTGAAGCCAGTTTTCTTTGAAAATTATTGAGAAAAAAATCAAGGAAGATAAAAAGAAAAACTCAAGCTAGTTCCATTTTGAAGCATTTTTTCCTGGATGTTCAGTTTGTGACATATCTGAAAAGTACTTGCAAATCTGTTGTGGATACGATTGAGATATTTATTTTAACATCTGAAGGGAATATTCGGTTTTAAGTTATTGTTTTTATGCATTTTGCTTATCTATAAAATTCCTTAAGAAAAAAACCCTCCTTCCTGCAAAAAGCACACTATTTTTATACATGTTATAGGCCTTTGGTGTACTGTCAAAATGTTATTAATTCTATATCAACTCTGTTCTCAACATCTTTTCCCAACAAGCCCCTGCTGTCATAATTTAAGCATCTGAGTATATTTTCAAGCCTCCAAGTGTAACCCCTAGCTAGACATTGAAGTGTTGTTTGAGGATATTCATACCCTCTTGAGTTTTTCCAGGACCAGACCATTTCAGTAACTCTTGTAGTGACAGCGGCGGAGCAGGCAGCTGGCGTGGAGGGCTGTGCGGCCAGCGGCAGGAAGGGGCACAGGAGGGTTGCTGGAGGCTGAATTACCCAAGTGAAAATGGGGTGGCTGAGAGGCCCAGGCCCCAGCACCGCCCCGGGACGCCGCCACATGCGCTCTGGACGATGACGGAGCAGCTTGCCCGTCACCACAGCGCAGGGGTGATGTCTGCTTTTCCGCCAGGCGCCAAGCCCCCGATGCGATCTTAACTAGCGCTCCACCCCGTCGGTGTGCGACGGCGCGGTGCACAGGTGCCCACGACCGCGCGAACCAGCCAGCGGGCTCCGCGAAGCGGGCGGAGCGCGGGCAGCGCCGGGGGCGGGTAATGGTCTCCGCGGGAGGCCCACGGCGCATGCTCCACGCAGCGCAAGGCGTGGC